TGATTGGTGACTATAAGAGTTGGCTGTGAGGGGTGATTGGTGGTTGTAAGGGATGGTTGTGAGGGGTGATTGGTGGTTGTAAGGGATGGTTGTGAGGGGTGATTGGTGGTTGTGAGGATTAGCTGTGAGGAGTGATTGGTGGTTGTGCGGGTTGGCTGTGAGGAGTGATTGTTGGTTGTGAGGATTAGCTGTGAGGAGTGATTGGTGGTTGTGCGGGTTGGCTGTGAGGAGTGATTGTTGGTTGTGAGGATTAGCTGTGAGGAGTGATTGGTGGTTGTGCGGGTTGGCTGTGAGGGGTGATTGGTAGTTGTGCGGGTTGGCTGTGAGGAGTGATTGGTGGTTGTGAGAATTAATAGTCATTTATTTGATACATCACCCCCTTAGCAGTCATTTATTTGATACATTACCCCTCAGCAGTCATTCATTTGTACATTACCCCTCAGCAGTCATTTATTTGATACATTACCCATTAGAAGTCATTTATTTGATACATTACCCTCAGCAGTCATTTATTTGATACATTAACTCTCAGCAGTCATTTATTTGATACATTACCATCAGCAATCATTTATTGGATACATTACCCCTTAGCAGTCATTTATTTGATACATTACCCCTTAGCAGTCATTTATTTGATACATTACCCCTTAGCAGTCATTTATTGATACATTACATCTCAGCAGTCATTTATTTGATACATCACCCCTCAGCAGTCATTTATTTGATACATTACCCATTAGCAGTCATTTATTTGATACATTACCCCTCAGCAGTCATTTATTTGATACATTACCCCATAGCAGTCATTTATTTGATACATTATCCCTCAGCAGTCATTCATTTGATACATTACCCCTCAGCAGTCATTTATTTGATACATTAACACTCAGCAGTCATTTATTTGATACATTACATGTAACTCTAAGCAGTCATTTATTTGATACATTACCTCTCAGCAGTCATTTATTTGATAAATTATCCCTTAGTCATTTATTTGATACATTACCCATTAGCAGTCATTTATTTGATACATTACCCCTTAGTAGTCATTTATTTGATACATTACTCCTCAGCAGTCATTTATTTGATACATGACATCTCAGCAGTCATTTATTGATAAATTATCCCTTAGCAGTCATTTATTTGAAACATTACCCCTCAGCAGTCATTTATTGATACATTACCTCTTAGCAGTCATTTAATTGATACATTACCCCCTCAGCAGTCATTTATTTGATACATTACCTCTTAGCAGTCATTTAATTGATACATTACCCCTCAGCAGTCATTTATTTGATACATTACCCTCAGCAGTCATTTATTTGATACATTACCCCTTAGCAGTCATATCATTTGATACATTACCCCTCAGCAGTCATTTATTTGATACATTACCCTCAGCAGTCATTTATTTGATACATTACCTCTCAGCAGTCATTTAATTGATACATTACCCCTCAGCAGTCATTTATTTGATAAATTATCCCTTAGCGGTCATTTATTTGATACATTACCCATTAGCAGTCATTTATTTGATACATTACCCCCTCAGTAGTCATTTATTGGATACATTACCCCTTAGCAGTCATTTATTTGATAAATTATCCCTTAGTGGTCATTTATTTGATACATTACCCATTAGCAGTCATTTATTTGATACATTACCCCCTCAGTAGTCATTTATTGGATACATTACCCATCAGCAGTCATTTATTTGATACATTACCCCTCAGTAGTCATTTATTTGATACAATACCCCCATAGCAGTCATTTATTTGATACAATACCCCCTCAGTAGTCATTTATTTGATACAATACCCCCTTAGCAGTCATTTATTTGATACATTACCCTCAGCAGTTATTTATTTGATACATTACCTCTCAGCAGTCATTTAATTGATACATTACCCCTCAGCAGTCATTTATTTGATAAATTATCCCTTAGCGGTCATTTATTTGATACAGTACCCTTCAGCAGTCATGCAGTCATTTATTTGATACATTACCCCTTAGCAATCATTTAATTGATACATTACCCCTCAGCAGTCATTTATTTGATAAATTATCCATTAGCAGTCATTTATTTGATACATTACATCTCAGCAGTCATTTATTTGATACATTACTCCTTAGCAGTCATTTATTTGATACATCACCGCCTTAGCAGTCATTTATTTGATACATTACATCTCAGCAGTCATTTAATGATAAATTATCCCTTAGCAGTCATTTATTGATAAATTATCCCTTAGTAGTCATTTATTTGATACATTACTCCTCAGCAGTCATTTATTTGATACATGACATCTCAGCAGTCATTTATTGATAAATTATCCCTTAGCAGTCATTTATTTGAAACATTACCCCTCAGCAGTCATTTATTGATACATTACCTCTTAGCAGTCATTTAATTGATACATTACCCCCTCAGCAGTCATTTATTTGATACATTACCTCTTAGCAGTCATTTAATTGATACATTACCCCTCAGCAGTCATTTATTTGATACATTACCCTCAGCAGTCATTTATTTGATACATTACCCCTTAGCAGTCATATCATTTGATACATTACCCCTCAGCAGTCATTTATTTGATACATTACCCTCAGCAGTCATTTATTTGATACATTACCTCTCAGCAGTCATTTAATTGATACATTACCCCTCAGCAGTCATTTATTTGATAAATTATCCCTTAGCGGTCATTTATTTGATACATTACCCATTAGCAGTCATTTATTGGAAACATTACCCATCAGCAGTCATTTATTAACTACAATACCCCCATAGCAGTCATTTATTTGATACAATACCCCCTCAGTAGTCATTTATTTGATACAATACCCCCTCAGCAGTCATTTATTTGATTCATTACCCATCAGCAGTCATTTATTTGATACATTACCCCTTAGCAGTCATTTATTTGATTCATTACCCATCAGCAGTCATTTATTTGATACATTACCCCTTAGCAGTCATTTATTTGATACATTACCCCTCAGCAGTCATTTATTTGATACATCACCCCTCAGCAGTCATTTATTGATACATTACCACATAGCAGTCATTTATTTGATACATTACCCCTCAGCAGTCATTTATTGATACATTACCACATAGCAGTCATTTATTTGATACATTACC